AACTGCACAAATCTGATTCCAGTTCATATTTTATCTTACAACTACGAGAACCTCCAGAACCTCCTCTGCTCCCGATCACACACGTGTTGTCAAGGTAACCAGACTGAATGACAGCTAAGAGGCTGTACTCAGACATTTCAAAATAAAATGAACACCACCCAGAACGACTCCTTAAACGTACAATGTAACTGACAACCGGTTACGCTACGATTTATCAGATTAAAGGTTTTATTTAGTCCTAACTGAGACGTCTCTGTCCTGACCGCATTTATAGGGAGACTGAAGGGTTCCCGGAAGAACAAAAAAAATGAAAGCAAGTCAACAGGGCTAAAAACGTTATTTTCTAATCCACTTTGCCTTACGTCCTGGATCGCACACGTTGTTCTGCAATTTAAATGAAAAGTAATGATGGGTGTTTCGACCACTCCAGTCACGTACTTTGAGATTTATTAGCTTGTAAAAGTTTGTAATTAGCATAACTACAAACTAGAAATCGGCACGTCGCATATGTGACGTCACCACAGTATCTCCTCTCCCCTAGCGTAGCTGCTACTTACCAAATGACCAGATTTATGGTGGTTCTTTCCTCCTGTGGGAAGTTTGCTGAACTTACAGCCCTTTTCCCTCAGTTTTCTCCGTGTCTGGTTTGATGATGTCACTTTCGTGAAGCGCAATTTTAGTCCTGGACTTATTTTCCACACAAAACCTAAAATAGTGTTTCCCCCTGTTTGAAAAATAAGCGCGTTCTTGGTATCAAAATGCGTCTTTAAAATTCACTGACATAATACGTGAAATCCATGGCACATAACAAGCGGAAGTGAAAAACTGCGTTTTTAGCCCTGTTGACTGGCATTTATTTTTTCATTCTTCCGGGGACCCATGATGCTGAAGTGACTTAAGCTTGGTTTATGCTTGACGCATTCATTTTCCACGCGGTGATGCGGCTCGCGGATAGAACGCACTTCACAACTCGCAGTGTTTATGGTTCGTGCGGCTCGTCTCTGTGGTGAGCCAATATTCTCCCAAACTGAACGGGGCAGCATACGGCATGCACCCAACACTACACCATAGTAGAAGTAGAAATTACTGTTTACAACATGGCATTTCAGCATTTTTAACAGCATTCTCGTCTTTTCCGACAGTGCGAGCTATTTCTCTCCAAGAATTATTTACAACATGTTGATCACGGTCATCTCTGAGAGCTGAATCATACAAATGTCTGTATTTACGAACCTCTGCCATACTAGTTCTTGCCGGTCCGCCATGTTTATCCGGGTCCGTCCATCCGCATGGTTAGAAATTTTCCGAGGTGCGCGTTGCGGAAATTCTGGGCCATGCGGAGGCGCGGTGGAGGGGCGTGGTTGTTAAAATGACGCAACTTTTCCGCGTGGAGCCGTGCGGACCTCGCGGACGCGTCAAGCATAAACCAACCTTTAGGCTCCCTATAACCTCTGCAACTTATTTGGTTATTTTGCACTTTGGCAGCCAGTAGGGATGTGTATTGGTGAAATTCTGGCGATACGATACGCGTCACGATATATTGCGATACATTCAGTCAGACGTTATTACCGACACGATACGTTAAAAAATGACTGATACAGATATTGATGCCAATATATTGTCCATCCCTAATATCAATATTTGACAGCTTTTGAATATCAATATAATATCGCTAGAAAAAAATCACGATATATTGCCATATCGATATTTTCTTACATCCCTAGCAGCCAGTGTCTCGACCTCGCAAGTTCTTTTTTCCATGTAGAAAGCAGGGATTCCCCGCATGTGCTGAGGATGCAGCGTGACCAATTATGGTTAATTGAGGGCGTTCCTGTATGTAAATGACTGAGAACTAACAAGAGCAGCTAGTTACGCACAGGTGGAATTTATCATCAGACAAGTGCAGAGGAACATGCGTACGAGAGGCCACCGCATGTTTCATAAATCAGGATTTTGACCGTTTGTACGAACATTCTAAATTTAGTTCATAGGAATGACTTTAGGAATATTTCTACGACATTTGATGAATGAAGACCCAGGTCCTGGAGGGCTGGTATCCAGCACATTTTAGTTTTAACCCTGCTTCAACACACCTGATTTCAATCAGCAGGTGATTAACAGCCTTCTGCAGAGCCTGATGAGCTACTGCACAGGTGATTAAATCACTGAATCAGGACCAGGATTGGGCACTCCTGCTTTAGGTGGTCTCTCAGTCTAAGCTTAAATACTGACATGAATGGACTTTTGCATCAGATTCTAGTTTTTCCAGTTTCACAATCTGAAGTGTGCTACTGTGTAAATGATAGAAATTAGAATCTTCCTCATTGCAGATGGCTTCCTGAGTGACTTCAGATACATTACTGACATACAGCTTGTGTCTGCAGACACCATACTGATATGTTAGACATACTACACTATAATACACCTTTCCAAGAATATGCAGAGAAACAAAGGAACACACATGTTCATATAGCTCAAAAAGACTTGCATACAGGTCCTTCTAAAAAAATTAGCATATTGTGATGAAGTTCATTATTTTCTGTAAAGTACTGATAAACATTAGACTTTCATTTATATTAGATTCATTACACAAAACTGAAGTAGTTCAAGCCTTTTATTATTTCTAATATTGATGGTTTTGGCATACAGCTCATGAAAACCCCAAATTCCTATCTCAAAAAATTAGCATATCGTGAAAAGGTTCTCTAAACGAGCTATTAACCTAATCATCTGAATCAACTAATTAACTCTGAACACCTGTAAAAGATTCCTGAGGCTTTTAAAAACTCCCGGTCTGGTTCATTACTCAAAACCGCAACCATGCGTAAGACTGCCGACCTGACTGCTGTCCAATAGGCCATCATTGACACCCTCAAGCAAGAGGGTAAGATACAGAAAGAAATTTCTGATCGAACAGGCTGTTCCCAGAGTGCTGTATCAAGGCACCTCAGTGCGAAGTCTTTGGGAAGGTAAAAGTGTGGCAGAAAACGCTGCACAACGAGAAGAGGTGACCGGACCCTGAGGAAGATTGTGGAGAAGGACCGATTCCAGACCTTGGGGGGACCTGCGGAAGCAGTGGACTGAGTCTGGAGTAGAAACATCCAGAGCCACCGTGTACAGGCGTGTGCAGGAAATGGGCTACAGGTGCCGCATTCTCCAGGTCAAGCCACTTTTGAACCAGAAACAGCGGCAGAAGCACCTGACCTGGGCTACAGAGAAGCAGCACTGGACTGTTGCTCAGTGGTCCAAGGTACTTTTTTCGGATGAAAGCAAATTTTGCATGTCATTCGGAAATCACGGTGCCAAAGTCTGGAGGAAGACTGGGCAGAGGGAAATTCCAAAATGCCTGAAGTCCAGTGTCAAGTACCCACAGTCAGTGATGGTCTGGGGTGCCATGTCAGCTGCTGGTGTTGGTCCATTGTGTTTTATCAGGTCAATGCAGCTAGCTATCAGGAGATTTTGGAGTAGTTCATGCTTCCATCTGATGAAAAGCTTTAGATGAAGATCTCCGTCCTGCAACGCTCCTCCGTGAGAGCGGGGTGGGGGGGTGGGGTGGCTTCACACGCTCCGCTGCAGTTTTTCACCAGTATCAGCTGGTGGAGGGCTCTAGTTTCGCTGCGCCGTTCGTGTCAGCGGATCGTGCACTCTGTCCGACAGCGCTCCTCCATGAGAGCAGGGCGGGGGAGTCGTGCGCTCTGTCCCGCAGCGCTCCTATGTGAGAGCGGGGGTGGGGGAGTTGCACACGCTCCGCTGCAGTTTCTCACCAGTGTCAGCTGATGGAGGGCTCTAGTTTTGCTGCGCTGTTTGTATCAGCGGACACGGTAGGGTCAGGGAGGGGGGCAGGGCATGACGCTTAGCCTGGCGGCCGGCCAGGCTTATAAGGCGCTGGGGGAAACCCTGTGATTCAAACCAACCGTGATGCATACATTTTCAGGCGTATCCCAGAATAAGATAGGTTCTATTTTTGTCATTTCTGGGACACGTCAATTTCAGCAGTTAGCATAGAGCTAGACAGGAAATCACACACGGTTTCAGTGTAAAGCCATCTTAATTTTCTAAATAAAAGTCTATTGCAGCGATGCAAATTCATATCTATGTAGAGACGTCAATACGGCTTATTTACTACCAGCATCATCCAAAAGTGCAGCGGTGTGTTTTCGTGGCTTTAATCCTGGAACAACATCAAACAACGGTATCAAACATGATTTCCTTCTTTTTGGTTTAATGCCGGATGTCAGAAACAAACCGTAACCTTTGAGGTGTCGAGGGATTTTGTAATCTTGCAAGTCCAGCGAGGATCACAGCTGAGGAGGCGCTCTGCAGCTGAGATTCTCCCAGTGTGTACTGGCGCGCAGCGGAGCTCGCAATTAAACCATTCTGCAGGGTAGGGGTTGGTAAAGCCGATTTAAAGTCAGGCACATCCCCGGGCAGCCTGGTGGTGCTGCAGAATTTAAACTTTCCTGAATAGTATATGCTCAAAAAATTATTTTCAACAAAAATGTATTTTCATATACCATTTTGAATAATTAACACTTGACTTGTTCGATTACCTTTAGTTGAATGTCTGATCGTAGCATTGAGCACAAAGTTGGAAGAGTTGGTTAAAAAGCAGATTCAGCTTCAGACGTGTGAATGAACGGATGTTATCAGTGACGTTTGGCATGTAAATGAGGTGGAAAACGTCTGGATATCTGCCGTCAGCGTACCATAACTTCCACATATCAGCAGCAGAAAAAACAATAACAGTAGAGTTCAGGTTCTGACTGTACTTCTCTGTAATAATGTGTAAATGTATTTTTTTCCATAACACACGGGGTATTGGCACAATCTAGTGGTTATGTCAGCTTTCACTATGTCACAAGCATCAGTGCAATTCCCTGAAGAGCTGCTGTAAAAGTCAACAGAGTGTGTAAGTCACTTCGTAGGAACTTCTCCCTTTTCCACACCTGACTAAATAAAGAAAGAGGAAGTGAATGTGATGCAAAAGTTTTACATCTCACCTTAACAAGCTGTGTGACAATGCGCTGTAAAACACCACTGCCCCCTTCTGCTTTGAGATGATGCCTCATTAGGAATCCCATGGCTCTGATCCCACTCGTGGCAATGGGAATCTAGGATAGAAAATGGGAATAGTAGAGGAAACGGAACAAGAGATGTACCCTCATCTGTTGAATCTTGAATAATCTTAAATTGGTCTGCTAGTTCCTCTGATGTTGGCCCAGCTGGTGTTTAGTGGACTTGTGGTCTGACACTGGGTCACACCGTATCCTAACAAGGAGAACCGACCGCCCGGATGGTTGCTGTGACTAATCAGTTATCATGTAAACAGCTGAACTCCAGAAAGTCAACTCATAAACCTTTCTGTAAAACCACGGCTCGGTTCCCAAAATGCAGAGTTCACCACACAGACTTGTCTAAAAGAGTTCATTTTTCTTCTTCTGGCTCTTGGTGAGTACAGACGCTTTATTTTTCTCCTCTACCGCCCTCCTTATCCCAAGGCTCTTTGGCTTTGAGGTGTTTTGTTGCATAGCAAAGCTTCCCTCTCTGGTAAAGCCTGGTTCATGCTTCTCCATCAGCTCCGCAAGGGACAGACACGCACGGATTGGCGGAAGCGTTTTGCTCTCATACTTCTCCGTCTCCTGGAGAGTGTTGCAAAGCAATTCCCCAGCAGGACAACAGAGGGCGTAGCGCTGTTCTGTGGTATCCTGTCATGCATCGGTCCAAGATAGTGTGTTTATATTATGTTTTTTGTGTATACAAGAGACTTTTTAACACAGACATATTTGTCTCTCATCCTCCTCCACCTCTTCATGTGCTCGCCACCTCTAAACCCACGTTTCCTGTCATTTCCGTCCACAAATAAAACGCTTGCTGCGCATCTTTTCACTCCTCCAGTCACGAGAGAATTAAACGTTCATATTTTTAGAGTTTTTTCGCGAGGTATTCTTCAAGCTTCTCCGTGTCTGCCGCTAGTTATCCTCGGCTCTCTTTGCAATGGCGGCGCTGTAAACAACAGCGGCGTCCTGACCAATCACAAGCTTGCGTAATCCGTCTCGTTCGACGGATGTTTAAAAAAAGAGAGCTCGACTCCGTACGTACTTGCGTGCCTGCCGGAGCCCTACGCAAGGACGTTGCGTGTCTCCGCACTGACGCAGACGGAGAAGCATAAATCAGGCTTAAGGGTAACTCTGAAGTGCCTTTTTTCCTCCACCCCGACTCTATTCTCATGTAAACCCCCTTGATCTATTACGGTAGCGCGACTCGGGTTGCGAATGATCACAGTCACCAATTCTTGTCACAGGTGTATGTATGTCTGATCTCAGAATTGTGTGTACTGGAACTCTAATTTCCCTCTGGGATTAATAAAGTATTATTGAATTGAATTACCACTGGAGCTCACCCTGTCAGCAGTAGCATTGGCCAAAATAGTCTCCGTCACCGTGTCACAGTAATCCTTTCCACACAGCTTCTCAGGAGCAGACTTGACAGCTATCGCCACGGCTAAGCTACGACCATGACGCACCATCCAGTCCACGCCAGACACGTCAGCTGTGAGGAGGCAGGAAGATGTTAGCTCAGGCTGATGCACACACCCAGACCTCCCAACATCAAGAGAAGAGTTTGTATCATTTGTTGTGCATGAGAAACTCTGTTTGTGCTCAAAATCAGAACAATACATCTGTTCTTAAGAAGAGTTATGTTTGGATGACTTAGAGAACAAATACAAACCCAAGACATGTTGATGTAGCACATTCTTCAGCTCCTCGTCTGACAGGAAGGCACACAGCTCCCCAATACAACCTGCTGAGGCCATACGAGTTGCATCCTGTATGCACGCACGCACACACACACACACACACACACACACACACACACATGTTCTGTGACTTTATCTCAGTGCCATGAAGACTCTAAACCACACTGAGAAACCACATCCTGTCTGACTTCTGTTTCTCTGCTGAGATCAGACACCTCTCAGTTTGCAACAGGCTCCAACACGCACTCTTTAGTTGACAATCCATTACCGTCGTCATTAGCTGCATCATCAGGGACAAAGCTGTGTTTGTGCTGTCATTAACTTGATCTTTTCAGCTCTGCTTGATGCTGTAAGGTAGCTGCTTCTGTAATCATACCTCGTCGTGTCCCAGCATGCCCAGTAACGTGGTGGTTATGTTCTTGCGAATGGCTGGGTCCACTTTTGATCCAGCTCCCTGGATGACAAACCTCAGAGCTTGAAGCATGGTCTCCCTGTGAGAAGAAAACAGGAACGATCTCACTTTCCGAGTTATGAAATGATCCATTGACACTCATCACTGAGAAAATAACAGCTGTGTCATCAGTGCCCTCTGGTGGACAGATGATGCATTTCAGTGCTATCCTCTGTTCGTCATGCATACAGTAATTTATGTCCTCCAGGACTCCTGAACCAACACAGCTTGGCTAAATCATTTGGTGATTCTGGAGAACCTGCTGGTGAGCTGATTCACTCATCGGGTGTGTTGGAACAGGGAAACGGCTAAAACACACAGGACAGCAGCCCTCCAGCATTGACTAGCCCTGCTCCAGACAGAGTCAGACATTCTGAGACGTGCTTCGCTGCACACCTGACTCCAGAGTCCTCTGCGTTCCGAATAGCAGCGAGCTGCTCTGTGAAGAGCGGGTCGACTTTAGAGTGGATGGAGACCAGCTGTCCCAGAGCCTCCGCAGCCCTCAGCCTCACCGCACGGCTGGAGTCCTGCAGGGCCTTCAGGAAGGTGGTCTGCAGCTGAGGCAGGAAAGGCTTCAAGGCAATGCCCACCTGAAATGAAACACAGCCCAGGGGTCAGGTGTCTGGTGTGTGGTTTGATCCGCAGCCATGCAGATAAGGACCTTTGCCAGCAGCAGGGTCAGAGTCTCCAGCAGAGCGGTCTTCACTGTCCAGGCAAAACGATCTCCAAGAATACGAATCAGAGGCCCAGTGATGTTGATGACCGAAGGCCGCAGAGCCTCGGATGACGTCAGTCTGATGACCCCTCCCAACGCTTTAGCTGCCTCCTCCTTCTGCTCCGGGCTGCCGGTGAGGACACCTTCTCTCAGAACTGACAGGATGCACGTGACACCCTGGGCAAACAGAGAAGAAGGCGACCTCCTCTTATAGTCTTATAACACATCATAAAATAAGGTCCTTGGGAAGTATTATTTACACCTTTAGTGAAACAGGAAGTTGCGCTGACATCAGAAATATTTGTTTAGTGAGGAGAATCCAACATGATTAAACAACAAGCACATCCCTGCTGCTTTGTTTATCACACTCTTGGATCGTTTTCTAGGAACACGATCATGGAAGAAGAAAGCCAACATCTGGAGAACACTCAGGGGGAACCACAGATGGGTTCACCACTGAGGCGGAGACGATTGTGTCATCTGCGTATAAATGCTATTTAATAGCATATAATGGGCGCTAAAGGCGAAACATTGACTCTTACTTTTTTGAACATTCAGATCTGTCAAGCACGTTTTCTTGTTCCTGAAGAATCTCAGGAGAACCGACACTAAAGGATTTTGGAGGTCCGAATGACCCAACAGGAAGGCGAGGGGATTTCTCGCCTGGTGAAATTTACAATTATAAAGATTTAATCAACTGTTCTTGTTACATCTGTGCAGGTCAAAGGTCGTAGAGCTGCCACGTCTCTGACCCAGAACGGTTGTGAATGTGATAAGTTAACATCACTCAGTGGAGAAGCTGGAAGGATCTGATGTAAGACGTTCTAATGAAGCTGCAGCGTGCTCCTCTCTCTTACCTTCTTGGGCAGGCAGAAACCAGGCAGGTGCTGACCCTTCACATCTGCAGCCACTGACCTGATGTCCCTATGCAGGTCATCAATCAGGGCCAGCTGGCTGCTAGCATCCAGTTTCTACAGAAGACAGAAAAAGCCCTGCGGTGAATTCACCTTCCCCTCTGGATCAGAACGCTTTATCTGCAACATTAACCCGTAGACCGGCTGATCTGGACCTTGGTGATGGAGTTGATGGTGTCCCAGCTCTGTGACAGAACCTCGGGGTTGGAGTCGTTCAGAAGGCGGATGAGACCTGACAAAAGGGTGCGAGTGTGAGCGCTGTAATCCAGGCGAGTGCGAGCAAAGTACGCGTTGAGGATGGTGATGGCTGCCTGTCTGAGGCCTGGGTCAGCTCCTCGAGTGGCCTCCAGCAGGTCTTCTATGATGATCCTCTGGCCTACTTCATCCTCTACCGAGAGGATCACTGTCTGACAGCTGCACAGCTCCTGAACCAAACCCAGACAGGTCAGACACAAACAAAGGTACAGCGGCATTCCTCAGAATAATCTGAATCATGAATCCACGTGAAACTGTTCCAGCACGGCAGAAAGAGACTCCAGATGGTGAGTGATGGGTCTACCTGTGCTGCTTCTTCTGTCCCCAGCTTTCCTTTAAGAGAGGAGAGCAGAGCGGGCAGGATGACCCCGAGGTGGCGGGTCAGAGCGTCTCCAGCTACAGCGGAGAGGAAGGCCAACACCCGGGTGTTCACAGGAGGAGCCGTCAGCTGGAAGCACCAAAGATAATCCACTTTAATCCCACAGCAGGACAGAACCGAGACGTAAACCTGACCCGGGTTTTACCTTGGGAACCAAATACGGCAGAACAGAGCGACTCTTCACAGCCATGACTTGCCTCATCCCATCCAAAGCAAACTCTGCCGTTTCCTCATCGTCCTAGAAAAACGCGTTCACCACGACAGAAATGTTATAATTCATCACGCAGGAAGGTGTGTGTGTGTGTGTGTGTGTGTATTCCTGTGAGGAAGTCTAGCTGTTCATAGCGTCTGGTGCTGGTGTGCTCTCTCTCTCTCTCACCAGCTGTTTGAGTAGGGTAGGGAGGATGTCGTCCAGCGCCTGGTGGCCGATGGTTGCATGGAGCTGCTCGAAGGTTTTGGCTGCAGCCTCTCTGACCTCCTCCAGAGGGTCACACAGAGCCTTCCTCACCGTTGGGACCAGTGACTCGGAGAAGACGAGCACCTGCAGACCAAAACACAAACGCCATCAGGTTACCATCGTTGTAACTTCAACACAACCACGGATATCCAGTCTGATTTATTGTCTCTCTCCTGTTGGGATGTAACCCAGCCATAAGCTGCCATGTCCTATTGCATCCGTGTGGCTCACCGCGTCTTTGCTGGTAGACTTCATGATCTCACTGAGACCGATGCAGACGCCCTGCCTCTCATCACTCTTGTCAGAGCGCAGCCCCTCCTCCAGGATGGGAATAATCTCAGGGAGAATCTTCTCTCCCAGCTTCCTCACAAGATCTCCCAGCGTCCGAGCAGCGATCTGTAACCACAAACCCAGCCCTAGCCCTCACTCACCAACACACACGGACTCTCAACAGGAAGGAATCATGAAAACGGAGAGCACTGGTACCGTTCTCTTGTCAGGACAGGTAGAAGCCAAAAAGCCCAGCAAGAGGGAGAAGAGGGTGGGGAGGATCTCTCTGAGAGTTCTGGGAGTGTTGGACACGACAATCTTCCACACATGAAGGGAAGCCTGCCGCACCACCAGCTGGGTGTCGGAGCGGCCCATGTAGAGACCCGAGAGCACGCGGTTACGGCGCTCAGCCCCCAGAGCGCCGATGATAGCCTGAGCAAGACAAGACCAAACACATGCGGGGTGAAAATGTTTCAATCAGACAACTCGAAGCTGATTTAGCTTCAGAAACACCTTCATACTTTGTTGGATGCAGCCGTGCCAAAGTTGTCATCCTCCGAGGCCGTCTCTGTGGTCATCTTTCCAGTTACTCCAGAGATGTGGAAGAGCAGGTCTCCGAGCAGCTGGACAGAGCTGAACCTGTAAACCACATCTGCCGTCAGCTTCCAGAACAGGGAGGCTTGTGTCACCACTAACAGCTCAGACCGTCTCAACCTGACCTGATTCTCCACAGATCATCAAACAGGCCTTGCTCCAGCTCCGGAAGCAGCAGTGCGATGGCGGTCTCAGCATACATGCTGATGATCCTCTGGCCAGCTCGCAGCGCCGTGTCCCTCACGTATTCGTTCTCGTCAGCTAGAGCCTGGAGCAACAGAGAAAGGTGACTGACCTGCGGCAGTGCATGACCTCCACACCGATGGCTGTGGCCTGGCTCAGAGGTTTTATATAACCTATCAGCGTGGTGAGACTAAAAGTGACGACTCGGCTCTAAGTCAGAGCAGTCCACACCTTGAGAATGCAGGGAATGATGGGCCCAACGTAGGGCGTGAATTTATCTCCAAAGGTGAGAGGCAGGTAGATGAACATCATGATGTAGCCGTCTCTGACGTGAGAAGCGATGTCCACCTTGCTGGCGGTCTGGACGACGTCTGGCATCAGCTTGTCCAGCTTTTCCACGCCCAGTCCAGCCATCACCTCGGCCAGACCTGAGGGGACCAATCACACGCCAGCTCAGCTGCCAAACACAACACATGTCAAGAGTGGATGGAGTGTGTGAGAACAGACCTTGTGCAGCTCCGGAGCGGTCCACAGAGCTCTGCTCGGATGCCAACGTCTCCATGAGCCACGGCAGCAGGTCGTCAAAGCAGGACTCGCCCATCCCTTTCACCATGGCGCCCAGAGCTTTGGCTGAGACTGTACGCACCTGGACAGGTGAAAAAGGTGTACGGTGAAGCTTTGCACCCTACACGAGAATCTAAACCAGCCGCTGTCCATCTTCAATAAACACCTCGGGCACTGGATCCAGCAGGGAGGCCTTTAGTCCAGGAATGACACTCGGCAGGTACGGAGACAAATCCTGGAAGCCATTCAACAAAAACACGTCACTCATTGTTAGAAAACAAATATTCTGAATTGAAGACATGACTAAAACGGCGTACCTTCTGGTCGGTGAGGGAGTACATGTTGCCAATGATCTGTGCAGCCATCTTACGAGTGTCAGTGGAGCGATCCTGGAAGGCTCTCTGGACGATGGGCATGATGAGAGCCAGGGAGGGCGCATCGATGAAGTGCACAAACTTCGTGTCCAGCAAAGTCTGCAGACACGTCTGGGTCCTTCTGGATGGATCCGTCAGGGCGTCCAGCAGGATGGGGGTGATGGCTGGACAAGAGGAAAACCAAACAAGAAGCAGAGGTGGTTTTTCCACACTCATCCAGTATTATCGGTACCGGGCGTCTGCATGACCATCTCAGCTGAACTACGGTTTCTTCGGTCTGATGTCAGAGTAGGGCTGGGCGATATGGCAAAAATAGAATATCACGATTTTTTATCCATGAATAGCATAACTTCAATTGCGTATTAAAGAAGAGAAACATTGAATAAATAAACATTTATTCATATTAGGGATAATCAGCACAGTGCTAACACACTTATATTTTTAACTCACACCAGAGATGATAAAAGCCCTGAGAGAAACAATTACAAAAATCCGTTTCTCGTTTTTCAAGTAACTTAACATAAATTAAAATCGTAAACATATTTAAAGCGCAAACATATCAATTGCAAACGTATTGTGCAAACATTAACTTGTTCAAAATACTATGTAGCTCCCAGTTGCTCATGTAGTGGATAGTTAAGCTCAAATACGGCTCTGATGTGCGGCTGGACCAGAGATCGCTTGTGGTAGCAAAAAACTGCGCATTCTGAATATTTTCTGCAACAAGTCTCTAAATAAAGTAAAATTTTCCAGTGGAAATTGGAGACAACCCATAGAAGCACTGATTTGATCTCATTTCAGAGAAAAATAGAACAGGTCAGATGCACCTAATAAATAAAATTACTAACAAACTCAGGAATCTTTCTTTGCTTCACTGTTCTGGTGCTGAAAACATCACTAATGTGGATCAAAGGACATACACAGATGAATGCACCTCTTATTATTTGGAGATAGGGCTGTCGCGGTAACCGCAAAAATGAAATATCGCGATATGAAGAAGCCCACCGCGCTGCATCATGCGCCACCGCGATTACTGAACTTGGTTCAACTCAATGATGCATGTTGAGAAGGATGGCTGCACTGGTATCAAAACGAAGCGTTACTTCGCTCCTTTGGGAGCACTTTGGTTTTCAGTACGTCAGCTGCTGCGCAGCCAGAGTCCTTGGCCGAGACAGAGCTGCCACCAGCGGCAAAAATAAATAAATAAATGCTCGGAGACCTGCTGAAGTCCCGGACAAGCACTGCTTCTGCAGCCGTCCCGAACAGAGTTTGAGCCGAGCTGGAGCTCACTCGCTACCTGCAGGAGGAATGCATCCACCCTAAAGAAAACCCCCTGACACGGTGGAGCAACAACCGGGAGAGATTCCCTTTGCTCGCCAGAGTCGCACGCAGGTACGTGTGCGTTAGTGCAACGAGCGCACCATCCGAGAGGGTTTTCAGTGTTGCTGGAAATGTTGTCACCCCTCTCAGATCCTCTCTCAAACCGTAGTTAACATGCTGGTTTTCCTTGTGGGTAACAAGGACGTGACCGAGCTATAAATCACCGTCATTCGTGTGTGTGAAAGTGAAATGATAGTGCACCCGGCACATGTAATTTTTTATGCTTGATTTTAAACAACTAAACAAAATGGGGACTTGTTTCTTACTTGTTAGATGCTGCAGCCAAATTTGCATTTAAAAGTTTAACCTTCTCCTGAATGTTGTTGTTTTTAAGTTCAGTCGGACTCCGACTGTCGGAGAAACAAACGTTACTGCGATCTGTGTTGTTACTGCCCTTTGATCTGCATTCAGTAAAGTGTTATTAAAGAAGGCACGGCCATTTTTAACCTTTTTTAAATGTGTAAACATTATGTTTAGATAGTACTGCAATAAAAAAGGGCTGCAATAATATCGCACACCGCAATATTAAGCCACCCTGAATCACCGCAGGGGGAATTCCTCAACCGCGACAGCCCTATTTGGAGACTACATTTACTGCAGCTGGCAGAGGCAGAGATTGTTTCTATTGCTACACGGAGTTTACAGAATCATTTTAAATGTTAATAGGGGAAGACTGCAGGAGGGAGCGGTAAAATACAGCGGGTCCCCAGCAAAAACAAGAAACTACGAGTCTGATGAAACCCGCTGGTTTTCTATCAGGCAGTCACGGGGCAGCTCCAACGACCCAGTGACCGAGCTCAGTCGGTACCGACACCGGCTCGGCAGAGGGTGGACGAGCCGAGGCGACGTCGTGCTCTGCTTAAGAAGCGGTGTTATTTTCCTGCTTCAGAAGAAGCATCCAACGTGTTTTTACGCTTTCTCCGAGACATGTCACGTCGCTAAGTTGTTAGCGCCGCGCGCTAAGGAAACCCTGCGTTCCTCTTCGGAACAAAAACCTCGTTGTCGCTCTCAGCCGCGGCCGAAGCCATGTTTGTTCACACACAGGTGAAAACAAGCGGGGCACTAATATATTACTATGACTCACTCTGATTGGTTAAGGGTCAAACAAAGGCGTGTCATTCGCCTGAGGTAAGTTCCATTTTCATTCAGAGGCAGAAATTCAACAGCAGAGCTGTGAATCGTGATAAAAAGGTCTCTCAAAAATGACAGACCGTCAGATCTGTAGATCGTAAAACGGTCTAAAATCGTCATATCGCCCAGCCCTATGTCAGAGTGAATACTCGCAGCAGAACATCACAAAGACATTTTGTGTAAAACTAGAGCACACCCATACTCAACTTCTTGCTGTACATAAAATAAACGTGGGCGAGTATTTCACCGCCTACAGGACACGGTTTCATCAGTGGCAGCTCCGCCTCGATCACACCAGTCGCTTACCCAAGATTTCAGGATTACGGATGACGGAGCCAATCTGTCGCAGGGCTTGTTGGCCGGCTTTCTGCACCTTCACGTGGGAGTCTGTCAGCACCTCCGTCAGCTTGGGCACAATGCTGGGCAGGCAGGAGGACAGCTGCTTGGGTGCACAGAAAGCCATGGCGCCCAGCAACTCCACAGATCCTGAGGGCAAGACCGGGGTGAGTCAGAAGTGTGTGATCTCTACAGCTGTTGCTACAGCCCCTAACAGAACCTTGTGTGTTTCTCACCAGCTTTAGTCCTCCACGATTCCTCCTCTAGGGCCACCAGGAGGGAGGGGAGCACCAGCTTCACCCCGTGGGCGCTCAGGTTCCTCATCACAGCCTTCGCACAGTCATCTGCAGCCTGGAGTCGAGCAGAAGAATTTAAAACTGGCATCAAACCCAACTCAGATCGGTTTCCACAGAAAGACTACTCAAACATCACAGATGAAAAGTTGGATTCAGACGAACATCAAGTCTGTTTAAACTACAGGCTAGTTTATTTAGTGTCTTTTCCCTTTTTTACATTGAAAAAGTTCAAATGTTTGCATCAGACACAAAATAAATCCCCTTGATTCAGTTTTGCGTGACTAAGCATCCTGCTGGAAGGAGCCCCGATGCAGTCCCTCACCTCTCTGACGTACTGGTTTCCATCTCCAAAGCAGAGCAGCAGGTGTGGGAGCACATGGACCACGTACGGCTCAAACAGCTTCCCCAGCATGTTACACAGCATCTCAAAGGCAAACAGGGATCCTGCAACAACCACCAGCACTGCAGCAGCACGACTTAAAACCAGATTTAAATGTGCGTGTCTGCGCGTCAGGTTCCTGCAGCCATCTCGACCGACCCTAAACTCGTGCAGCTGTTTTCTGGTTCACACTCACCCTCCCTGCGTCTGAAGTTTTTCTTGTCCTGGATGGCCTCGGTTAGCGTGGTCATGATGTCCTGCTGCTTAAGCGCCAGGATCCCGAGTCCTTTCACCAGGCCGGCCAGCCCGTAGGCTGCTCCCTTCCTCTCTGCATACTTGTCACTCTCCAGCAGCAGCTGCAGCAGGTTCCGCACGATTCCGGCCGCGTCGTCCCTGATGGCGGGCACCAGAGGAGGCAAGCAGCTGGCCACTGACTCCTGGACCTGTAGTGGGAGAGAAACCATCATAAACCCAGGAGAGTAGGGCCCTGTTAGCATCCAGGATCAGTGTGCATGTGTGAGGCGTTTACCTGCTGTGACGGTGTTGACAGTGCCGTTATCAACTTGGCCACGATGGGTTTGACCTTAGGGTCACTTTTGTCCAGATGTTTGGCCAAAGAACCCATGAGAATAACCACACTCTGACGAACGGAGTCATAGCTGGCATCCTGCGGGGCGTTCTTCAGAAACTCCTCAAACACTGGCAGCAGGGAGCTCACGTTCTCCTGAAGCACACGGGAGCTGCGTCAGCTGCAGGTAAACATTAGAGCTGGCTGATGAAACAACAGCTACCTTTCCATGTGTGTTAAGGGTCGAGAGTGCAGCATCCAGCATGCAGCGCCGCACCTCGGCGTGGCGATCGTTCAGAGCATCAGGGACAAAGAAAAGGAAGAGAGGGGTGACTTGAGGTTCATCCAGGTACTGGGACAGCTTGTTGAGAGCCAGAGCAATGCCACACCTGATGAAAAAACAACAGTATCGGGACAGAAGAACCATCACTGTGCTGCCGGCATGCACAGCAGGCTGAAAACAGTCCGAACTGAAGACTTCTGAATGGCAGCGTGTTTACCTGGCCTCCCACTGGTCAGGGGGAGCTTCAGAGATGACTCTGCCAAGAGCGTCCAGCACAGGAGGAGGTCTCTTTAACAGGGACAGAAATGATTTTAACCTAATTTATACCATCATGTAGTAAGACAGAGTTTAGAAGGCCTTACGTATAGTTTCTGATGGTAGAGGTCGGTGAGCTGGCTGAGCACAGAGGCAGACTGGTCTCTGTACTGGGACACGGCGCTGGACAGAGCTTCAGCTGCTGCAGAACGGATGGCCTCCTCATGGTGAGTGACGTCTCCGATCAACATGGAGCAGAGGTCAGAAACCAGCTCCAGATCCAGAGACTCCCACAGCCTAAGGAGGTCAGGACGTCAGTTACACGATTCACAACAACGTCTCCTCACCTCCAGCAAAAACAACATTACCCGGGAGAGAAGGTGTTTGTAATATTACGAATATTTCTATCATTTCAATAATAGCATTTAAACAATTCCTCCCTTTAATTGGTAAGTTTAGAGAACTGGAAGCATGCTCCAAAAGAAGATAAAACAAAGAAAAAATCATTCTAGTTGGACAAGATGAAAAAAAAGAAAAAGAAAAAAGAACCAAATGATGAAAATTACTTTTCAGCCAAAGCCCGTCCTTCCTCCTCAACATCAAACCTGGCAACCCACAGCCTGCGCAGCAGACTCATGCCACTGGCCTCTGTGCTGTCTGTGGGCAAAGCAAACTCCATCTCCAACAAGCCCTGAGAACAAGTTCCACACAGGTTGGCCACATGTTGATGTTAGAGACCATCACGGTGTAACAGCAGGTGAAACTGAAAAGGTGGGATGCATTTTCCTGTCTCTACACTGGTTACTGAGATGAGAGCAGAGGCTCACACTGAGAGCGGCATCCCGGACCGAGAAGCAGGGCGAGAGCAGAGCGCCGAGCAGCACGTCGATCTCTGGCTGCTCAGCCACAGCACAGCCGTCTCCTCCTCCTGCGCTGACGCACAGCGCCGTCAGACACTGGGAGGCCAGCACCTGAAACACATCACACCCCTGAAGAGCACAGTCCTGGTCTCTGAAGAGCTGTTTGACTGTAGTTTACCTGGAGTCTTGGAGTGGCTGTAGAAATGATTCTGATCAGCAGCTGCAGCATGTTGACTCGTGGAAGCAGTTCTGGTCCGTTCTAAACCACGAAAACCCAGCGCAGCTTTTAGAACATCGCTTGTTTTGAGCGTATGAATGGTAAAATAAAACACCTGAGAAACGCCCGTTTCTACCTCATCGATTACGCTGTCATCCATGTCTGTAGTGGCGCGTAGCTGGGAGTGCACGTTGATGACCTGCAGCGCTCTGCTCATGATGTTCTCCATCTCCTCTGTGCTGCCTGAAGACTCCCCGAGTGTTGCGTTGAGGAAAGGGAAGCAGAAGGAGAAAGCAGGAGCAGACAGTGGAGCGACGTCTAACGGGGAGAAATGAAAAGGAGTCAACATCTTATATCGTACCGCAGGTATGAGACTTCATTAGACACTGAATTCCACTGAACATCATGGCAGTTTCTGTTTAAAGTGTGCCTGACTAAGCGTGTGTGTGTAGACGAGAGAGAGAGAGAGACAGAGAGAGATGGAGAGAGAAAGACGGAAAGAGAGAGAGACAGAGAGAGATGGAGAGAGAAAGACGGAAAGAGAGAGAGACAAAGACACAGACAGACAGACAGAAAGAGAGAGAGAGACAGAGAAAGATGGAAAGAGAGAGAGAGAGAGACAGAGAAAGACGGAAAGAGAGAGAGAGAGAGAGAAAGAAACAGACAGACAGAGAGAGAGAGAGAGACAGAGAGAGAGAGAGAGAAAGAGACAGAGAAAGGCGGAAAGAGAGAGAGAGACACAGACACAGAGAGAGAGACAGAGAAAGACGGAGAGAGAGAGACAAAGACACAGACAGACAGAGAGAGAGAGAGAGAGAGAGAGAGACAGAGAGAGAGAGAGAGAGAGAGAGACAAAGACACAGACAGACAGACAGAGAGAGAGAGAGACAGAGACAGAGAGAGAGAGAGAGAGAGAGAGACAAAGACACAGACAGACAGACAGAGAGAGAGAAAGAGAGAGAGACAGAGAGAGAGAGAGACAGAGACAGAGACAGAGACAGAGACAGAGAGAGAGAGAGAGAGAGAGAGAGAGAGAGAGAGAGAGAGAGAGAGAGAACAGTCTGGTCCAGTCCTGTACAGAGCAGCCTCTCAGCCCCAGTGATCAGCACAACATCTCAATAATTAACAGACGTTTTCCTTCTTTGCTCCAAAAAAGATGCTTGGAATCCTTGAAATTCTTTCATTTCCAAGTGTGTGTGTGTGTGTGTGTGTGTGTGTGTGTGTGTGTGTGTGTGTGTAGCACTGATTCTTAGGACATTACTACAGGACGTGTGTGGGTTTGACCTTAGAAAGGAGGGGGGGCGTATGTCATTCTAATAATAATAATTTTATTGATCACAACGGTTTTGTGACTGCTTGGAGCTAGATTCCAAATTAAAATAACTAACTAACTGCATGGCTCTGGAGGAAAGATGGCGTCACACTCGCCACCGTCAGAGGTCAGCAGAGGTGGAAAGAGTGCTAAAATTTCCTACTGAAGTACAAGTACCAAAATTTTTTACTCAAGTACAAGTAAAAAGTATCGTAAATAAAATGTACCCAAAGTAAAAGTTACTTAGTTACATATTTGTCAGCGTAAGGATGGCTACATCTAAGTAGTGCAAAATCACAATGCAGGATCACAATTCGCTCGTGTGCGCGTAAACACACACACACACACACATACACACACACACACACACACTTTGATGGAGCGATTTCTATACAATCAGTGAGAACAGGACGTGCACATTGATTGGACGAGGTTTTTCTAGGATTGTATGTTTCAATTGTGATTAAAATTATTCTTTATTTTGAAAAAAAAGTTTATTTTTAGACGCCATCAGTATGTGAGGTATCTCAATGTTCTCATGACAAAACTCTAACATGAGACTGTGCTCTAACCTGTCACATAACAAGCTAAATGAAAGTCAAACATTTCAGATGGACCGTATGACAGCTGCTAATGTTGGCCCTGCCCTACTTTACCTCTACATTACAGTTCCTTTATCCATGTCCATCCTAGAGCTCCTCTCTGACCTTCATGCTTATTTAGAGCAGCTGATTTTTAAAGTTAGCAGAGTTCATCCTTGGTGGTGGGTTCACTCACTCATTTAACCCTTCACCACTGAAATCAGTTTGTTCATTCCAATCCTCCTAAATAATCCTCCAATCATCCAACTGGAATCCTTAAGGGTCCCGTAACGTCCATCCTGTCAGAACAGGCCTTGGGAGCCCAGGTGTTACTAGAACTAACGGTGTCTCCTCACCAGCGTGAGCCTCCACACTGTGAAGGTTGGTCTCCAAACATGAACTTTAAATTCATGCATCTCCTCTTGTAACACTTTAACATGTTTTAAAAGGCTTGTATCATGATAAGTTACACCTCCCAGACCAAAGATAAGATAAAACATTATCATAAACACTGCAGAGACGTCATTATTTATGAAATAGAAGTTATTTTGGTTCACCATTACTTCAGCCAAGAAATAAGATTAATGGATTTGATGAAACCACATGGTCTCATGCAGTCCTATATGTGTAACACACACACACACACACACACACACACACACACACACACACACACACACACACACACACACACACACACACACACACACACACACACACACACACACACACACACACGTGAATGACTAATTAAACTACACTGAACTGCTTTTATAATAATTTAATCTCGTATTCTGGAGTCAAATAAAGAAACAAGCTAAATCATCACATATCTGTGGCATCAAGAAGCATCTTCTGAGTTCAAACACAGGAATGGAGCACAATGTTTACACCTGAACAGTATCAGGATGTTTTAACTCACAGAGGCCTGCAGGCCTTCTGTTTTATGAGCAAAGCGCTGAGAATCCGCTTGCTATGAGCGCTAAACGTTATTTTGCCGCTTCCGTGCGGAGCGGTAGAGAAACACAATTGAAACACGGAACAGAGTCTGGTTACTGAACCGAGCAGAATTCTGATGACGTCACACCGGTGCGCGAAGGAGCGGGATTCAACACACTGGAGAGGAGGGAAAGAGGAGGTAAACAGCGAGTGGATCACAGGGACTGAACTGATGTTTTTGAGCAAAACTGCGGTAAAAACAGCTGTTTGTCCTCATTATCAAGTGTACCCCCCCCCCCCCCCCCCCCGCCTAGACGTAGCGCTCATGCTGCTACACGCAATATTTTTAATTTATTGAGCCTACAATTTATTTTTACTCAGTAACGGATACGATTTAAAATGTAGTGAATTACAATTCTTTTTTAAAAACGTACTCAAGTAAAAGTAAAAGTACAGCTTTTAAAACGACTTAAAAAGTATAAATATACAAAAAAAAAAAACTACTCAATTACAGTAACGTGATTACATGTAATTCATTACTTTCCACCTCTGGAGGTCAGCACTCTGAAACCCACAAATCTGACTTTTTTATCACCAGCTCATGAACGCAGCGAGCATCAAGCTGCAGCAGCAAACCCCCCCCCCCCCCCCCCCCTCCTAAACAATAACAGATCTTTACCTTCCAGACGGACTCACCTCCGGTCTTGCCCTCTCTCTGAGGGACAGTGTGGGTATGCAGCAGCAGTATAGTACGGTGGGATGCTGTGTCCAGGTCCTCCTGAGCCCAGGCTGGGTCCAGATCACATTCTGGCTTCAGTAACCGTAACGTCACATGACCCACAAGTACGGCTGGAAGGTGAACAAAGGCGTTACAGAGCTGAGCTCCTCTATCTCCAGAACAGAGCTTAAACGGGACTTTTACCCAAGTTGTGAAGGTGTTTGGGAATGAGACACACTCCGATGTCCAAGAAGACCTGCTGGACACGAGGAGCAGCCAGAGGAGAGTGGAGCAGGGGCATTAGGACCTGGAGGACAGCGGGGAGCTCCTTGGTAATCTGAGCAGGTCTGGCTCTCAGAGTGGACTCCAGCAGACCCACCACACTCTGCAGCTCCACGTCCATCTGCAGAGAACAGGAAGCTCAGGAGGAGACCATTCTGATGTAGAAACCTGGAAACTGAACTTGATTCTGTACCCCTTGAAGCCTTTTGCGGATGGCTGACTCCTTCTCCAGCTGGATTTGAATCAACTCCTTCTGTTTGCTGGTTAACTGCACCTCCTCTTTGATGCCTTTCTTCTTCTTTAGTTCCTGCAAGGAAAGAAAAACAGTCAGAGCAAATTTCATGAAGGCCCTGACTGGTAGTGCTCGTGATTACTACCTCCTGTAACTCCAGTTCAATGATCTGCTCCTTGTAGGAATAGGCTTTATTTTCTCTCTTCAAGTTAACTTTCTTGGTATTTTCCTTTTGGGCGCTGTGGAAGGTTGAGAGTTTGAGAACAGGAGCGTAAGAACGCCAGACAGACACTGGAGAGGCTGTGGGTTACCTCTGCATAATGCTGTTATCATACAGCTCTCCCTCGGGGGTCAGCATTATGTTGTACTCTTCCCTGGTGACCTGAAGCAGAGCCGGCTGAGAAAGGCCCTCGATGACATGGCTGATCACCCGCGGCAACAACGTGTCGGGTGAAAGAACACAGAGAGCTCCGACAGCATTTTTCACCGCCTGTCGTAAAGAAGACGAGCGGTAAACGTGATATTTATTCCATCTATCGAGCAGACGCATAGATCACGTGAGGGTAAGGAGAGATCATCAGACCTGGCTATCAGCGTTCACCTCCAGCAGTTGTGGCAGAATGGCTTCAAGATTTTTTTCAATAAACGCCTGTGCTGAGATGTTCATGGACGAGAGCAGAACTGGCCAGAAGCCAGAGCGAGCTTGAACTGGAGGAGAGACGAACACATGAACAACGTCAATCTCCTGTCTGTTTAGAAGACAGGGTCACTACAGCGGGACACCAAAGGCTTCTGTACTTATTGAGGGATGATGGGCGACAATAAGGGTCTCCATTGCCAGCTTCTCTGCTTCAGCCGCGTCCCCCCACTGGCTGGCAGCGGAGCAAACGGCACTCAGAGCGTCCAGCAGGACACGAGGGGGAATATAGCTGCGCCCCGTCTCTGTTAGCTCTCCTGACTCTGAAACCAGGACGTCTGCAGGCAAAACCTGAAGGATTTACAATAAATGTTCGATGTGAGAATCATATTTATGTTAACAAGTAGGGTTGGGCATCGTTTGAATTTGAACAATTCCAATTCCTCATTTCGATTCTGGTTCTTATCGATTCCCGATTCCGATTCTTTCGAGTGGCAGGATCCAAAAACATTTTAAGTATTGAAGGAGCCAGATATCCACAGGTCTTGATGAAATAATCTGAACTTCAACATGAACTTTAATTCTATGAACGATAAATAGGCATATCCCGTTCTGATATGGATTATTGGATATCGGCTCAAAAACACTATTGGATTATATCGGACTGCATCAAAAATCTCCACTACTCGCAGTACGCTCCACTTTTATATCCATTCCAGCAATTCTATCCATCAGCGCCCAGATCCAACATGCAAAGTCCACGTGATCAGAACAGTGTGTTCTAGTAAAGTAGCAAGGAACGATGTCGGCCATGTGGCTGTGTTTCTCGTTAAAGTCCGAAAAAGACAGTTTGGCTCAGCGCAAAACTCGTCATGCGCACGTTTCCTGTGGTGGAATTACTGCTGCTGGCTATAGTTTGTTGTTTGAGTAATATAACTTCCTCAAGCCTTTCATACATTCCACACTAGGAAACAGGTACAAGTATGTATGATCTGAGTTGATATCATATCGGGTTGATATTGGTATCGGGCAATACTGAAGGTATCGGTATCGTATCGGAAGTGAAAAAAGTTGTATCGGGACATCCCTACCAATAACATCACCTTCATTTAGAAAAGATGTATGTTTTCATGAAAAGTAAAAGACCTGCTGCACAACCAGTGTGTTTGTTTCTGACCACAACCCAAGTATGGGAGCTGAAGAAGCAATAAGAGGCTAAATGTTCAACGTAGCCAGAAAGGTCCAGCCGTTTCCAGCTACAGCCATCAGGATGACGGACAGTCTACACCTACATGCTGCGGCAGTGATTCAGTCAGAAGGGGAACAAACTTAACCGTAGCCGCTGTCAGTAACAATCTAACGGATTTAAAACGCTAAAACTCACAACAGACTAAATAGTTCAAAAAAGAAATTGAAATTCTCACAAATTTACGTGTTGTGCTAATTTTAATGATTTTATTTATTTATTTATTATCCCAATCGGCTCCTAGTGGCAGAGCCCGGTGTGGTCCACCACAGAGAAAGGCTGATCTACCACGATGACTTTAATTATTTTACAGGTTATCGCTCAGCCTTCTGATGCTCACGCTCACACAGATGAGTGTTGGTGAGTGGCTGCACGTGACTGTTGATGCTTCGTGTGTTTTTATTTCTGCAGTGAGCCAAACTCGCCTCACACTAACCAGAGTTTGTTCTTTAAGAACAAAATCTGCCGTGGCGACACATTTTAACGAGCTTCCTCCTCTTCGTATGTTTTGCTGCAGGAATGAAAGTTTACATCACAGAGAAAGTTCGGCAGACGCGTGTGTTTACATTTCTGCTGCTGCTGTCACTCTGGGGGGGTCGATGCTGTTCTCAGGCTCTCTGCGGGCTGCAGCGTAGGAGCGACAGACACCCTGTGGGATCAGCTCTAGCAGATCACGTTTTTTTCACGGAGATCAGCCGTGAAGAAACTTTGAACGGTTCCGGGAAAAAGTGCCAATCGATGCTTGGTGCCCAACCCTATTAACAAGAGTGGATATAAAGATAATGGATGTGGTACCTTGTGCTTGTTAATGACCACTCTGAGTTCTCCCAAAAGGCCGTGGGCGAGGTTGGAGCCCCCCAGGGAGGACAACAGCTTCCTCACTGCCAGCTGCGCCCTCTTCCTCACGCGCCAGCTCCGAGACAGCAGCACAGCAACAATGGCGTGATGATACATCCTAGAGAGGAGCAACATCAGACCCTTATTAGAGGTCATGAGCATGCACGAGCACAGCGGTTTCCATCCCAGCTTCACATCGACTGGAAATGTGGCGTCAACCAAGTCTGTCAGCTAGGACTACACAAGGTAACACTGGATAACCCTTTGGATGTAAAGAGAGTTTGGTTTGAGAAGGCTCTGGTCTGTCAAAGATGATGAGCCTTCAAAAAATGAAATGGACATCGTTTTGATTTCAGGTGGTTTGTCAAAAGTGTTTACAGACTCTAAATGTGAAATGGCCTGTATTTGGGCCAGCAGCAGCTCAGGAGGTAGCCACAGCTGTCCCGGGGCGCACTGACAGAAACGAGTGCCAAGCACCGGCACCACCAGTCCCCCCGACCACCAGCAGAAGCCAAGGTGGGTTAAGTGTTTTGCCCAAGAACACAACAGCAACATTCTCTGATGGAAGCCAGGATCGAACCTGCAACCTCCTGATTACTGCTGTTATGGCTGCCCGTACATTTCCTACCGCTGTGACTGTATCATGATACAAGAAAACACAGATTAGAAGAATGTGGGAGTTTCTCAATGCCAAGGAACCTCGCTTTGATGTCTTGGCTCAGCCCCGGTTGCCTAGGAGATACGTCATCAGGAACCGCCAAGACGTGTTCCAATGTTCGTGTTCTACCCAGGCGTGTGTTCTCCATTTGTTAGCTGTTTAGCTAGCTGAGCAAGGATACACGAGAGGTGTCTTATAGCCAAGCCTTGATCAAAAGTTTCCCAGAATGCACCGCAGTATTTTCAAAAGGACGGCGGAACAGAAGCCGGCAGCAACTTCGGGGGCAAGTTTCAAGTTTAAATGCAAGTAAACTAATTAAAAATGTTTTTTTAGAACCAAAGAAGTTATCTATGGTTGGTTAGTTGCAGCTTGGGTGGCTAGCGGGTAATAACTCACTTACATTTTTAATTTATCAAATATAAACACAATTGAAACTAATACGTATAAAATATAATGTTATCACCCGTGTCACGTGACATAACGTGACTGCTGCGGACGCCGCGGTCACGTGATGCAAGTCTGTTCCATTAAACTATTTTCTTTGACCAAGGAAGGACAATGTCCTCGTAAGCAAGGCGCCTGGCCTTGCAAGACATCGCCTCACAAGGCCAGAAACACCCTGTATTTGACCTCCCGTGGTACGTAAACCACCAACAGGTTCACTGTCAACCAGATGGCAGGAGTGCAGCACAACTTAAAGACCAATTTCATTCATGAATGTGTTGTGAGTCAATCTCTGTGAGGGGGGGGGGGGGGGGGGGGGGTCCGGCACTCATGTTTCAGGAAGTAAAGGTAGCAGGGCGAGCAGAAATGACAGGATTTGGACTCTTCATTTCCTGATATTCGTACATCTCTCCTCTGATTGGCTAACAGCAACACGACTATTTGCTCTGCAACGTTGCTGTTTTATCTCCACAAATAACACAAGCCTGGAGGAGTTCTGCTGTGTGGTGGAGTTGCTAATGCTAATGTTAGCCTCTTTTGGCTGAGACGTTCTTTTCTGGACCCCGTCTCGAGTCAATATGACGTGCAGTCAGGGTTTTCTGTTCTGAGCGTTCCCCGGTCTCTTTTCTACCAGCAGCTAATGCAGGAAATAGGGGTAGAAGACTTTTCACCTTCTGCCTACATAAGAAACTCAGAGTGACCGATTCTATTTTTTAAAAAAAAGAGTTAAAATCGGTTTCTCAGTGAACTTGGTCTTTAAAGTTTTGTTAATATCACAACATGGCCTGTATAGATCGCAGGGTTAGAAAAAAAACTGCAATACGAGTTTCTTTCAACATCGTGAAGTCCTAAAGTCAGCAAAAGACGGGAACCGCTGGATGTTTGAATTAAACTCTGAAAATCCTTTTAACGCCGGGGACACACCAGCCGCGGAAGCGCCGCGAAAATGGGACCGCCTTCATTCGGCGCCCTTGTTAAGCTATTCTATAGACCACAAGGGCCGCGGCCGCCGAAGCGCCGCAAATCGCCTCGCGCCGGCGAGCGCTGTGCAGCGATCATTTCGGCGTCGGCTCTATTTTTTTTCGCGAGCCGCGGGTGAATCGCGTCAATTCTGGCAGGAAGTCAAACCTAGACATAAGAGGCAGGCCGGTAAAGTTAACAAAATAAAGCATTTCAAAATAAAATTCCGCAATAGTCAAATGTGTTCGTAATCAGACACTGCAGAAAAACCACACGAACACGCACACACATCGAACTTGTGTGTGTGACCACGTGAAGGGGTGAGTGGTTTTGGGTGTCTTTTCACCGGAGCGAACAGGACAGAGAGGCAGAAAGTCTGAGGCAAGCAGTTAAGATGGATGACTTTAAATTAATTATGGAAGTTGAGAAACACAAGGAGCTGTACGACCCCCGAAAAACGATTATTTACGTACCCATTTCAGAAGAAACTGCTAGGATGCAGCTGCAGAATTGGAGCGGGTTCCAAGAGATTCAACTGGCAGAAACAACTCATACCATAGGTTCACACACACACACACACACACACACACACACACACACACACACACACACACACACACACACAAACGTAGAGGAGAAGAGCTGAGAAAAGGCAGAGAGGAAATGGAGGGCACCAAGTGTTTAAAAGAAAAACTACAGCTGAGTCGAGGCGCGTCTGATCTGAACTGAGGAGCGGCGAGCAGCGGCCGAATTTCGTGAGCGATTCACTTCTCGGCGCTTCGCGGCGCTTCCGCGGCCGGTGTGTCCCCGGCGTAATGGATCCACAACTGGGTAACGTCTGGAGTTAACCCAACACAATGAAACCTCCTGGTTTTCACCTTTATTCATCACAAATTGAAATAAAACAAGTTTCCCAGTAGACTACAGTTTATCAAACCACCAGTAAAGGCTTGGACCTGGAGGACACTAAACTACAGCAGAGGTGGAGTCTGTTCTGCTCTGGTGAGATATACGCCGTTTTAAAGCGGTCTTAAAAGAACATGTTCACACTCACTGTGCTTTGCTGGTGTTCAGTCGGTGGGCGTGGTCTAGGAACAGCCGTTCACAGAGCAGCAGCACAGTGAGCAGAGCTGGAGACACAGTGTAGTCCAATCAACCCGTCATGAAACATCTCATCAGGATTTACAGCCAAAATCTTATTAAACATCAACAGTCTTACTCTCTTCACTGGCCTGAGAGAGAAACTTCTCTGTGGTGAATAACGGCTTCTTCTCGTCAAGTATCAGGCTCCAAAAGCTGCTGAATTTAGCTTCTAAAAAAAAAACCACACCGTAAAAACGCACACTGGTTAGCCTCGACTCGTCCCGAGGCCCACTAAGGGCACCACGACTGAAACTAGAACTCACCCGTCTGAGTCTCCAGAAGAGCCAGGCGACTCAAAAGAACAGATGCTGCCACACCCTCAGCCAGCAGAGCATGCTGGGAGATTTGTGCAGCAGCCTTCTCAGTTGTTTGGAGGAGCAAGGGTATGAAGTCTGAGGCTTGGCTCAACGTGTCACCTACACACAGGAGAAGAAACCAGAGGTCATGACTGCAGTTTCAGGAGCTGCAGGTCTTACAGCCTAGCTCTCTCTGTGACTCTGACCTTTGAAGGCCCCCAGCATGGCCTGAAGGTAGGCATGGCGAACCAGAGGGGTGGAGGTCTTGAGAGTGAAAGCTTTCTTCAGCCAGTCCAGCAGAGCGGTGGGAACCTCCACACCAAGCCGACTGCTCCACTGAGACAGCACCGACACCGCATGCACCAAGGTGCCCTCGTGAACTAAAACCAAAATTCAGTGCTCAGTTAGCTTAAGACAGACTCTCCACGTCTCCGGCTTTGCACCAGGGAGCAGCTGAGGAGGAGCCGTACCTTCTTGTTGTAAATAAGGGACGAACATGACCGCAACGGCAGAGCTGAGAGTCTGGCTGGAGGTTCCTGACACGGCGTGATGGCTGCAGCTGGCGACTCCTTTTAGAGAAAAATATATAAACATATTCATCCATCTTCTCTCTCATGACTATGACATGCGTTAGAAAGGCTGTTCACCTGACAACACGCTTATTTTTTGGGCAACAGCGGTGAGCTTCCCCTCAGATCCTGGAACAGACAGTGTTTCAGGTCAGCAAAGGAAAAACAGGCTGGGAAAGCATCCCACTCGTCTGTTCGATGACTAGCTCACCGCTGAGGATCTTGAACAGATGCGTGACAATATCCTGCACAGCGCTGGGATCACTGCACTGCTTGGCCAGGTTCTGCATGGCCTGGACCGCCTCCTCCATCAGCTGGGCATTATTTGCCTTCAGCTGGCCTGAAACACAAGCAGACATCAGACTCCGTTTACACTCCCCACCAGGCACACCAACCTCACAGCTGGGTGCCGTTTTAAATCCACCGTTCTTACTGGCTATGGCCTTTCCGATATCCATGGCGTACTGACTAAGATCCAGAGTGACAGCAGACAGCAGGCAGGAAATGGCTGCAGAGACACAAAACACCATCCTGATCTACTGCACGAGTCCAACATGAGGAGACCATCTAGAGACAGTGTCTCACTTTGCATAGCATTCTCTGGGCTGCGGAGCATGGTCTTCTGCAGGGCAGGCAGCAGGAGCTCCTTAAAATCAGAGTGGGTCACGTGACGCAGTAACGAGCCACTTTTGTCCAAAATGTGCTGCTGTGGCTTTGTCTTGCTCATAAGCACTGATTTAATGTAGAGGTCCAGCAGGGGGCTCTGAGGCACAGCAGAAACAAAATTATGGATCAAAACAGGAAAGAGTCCAGAGCAAGGTCTAGATTAAACCAAATGTATTCACCTTATGCTTCTCCAGAGTGGCCTTCTCCTTCTGAGCAGTGCAGAAGTCCAAACACACCCCCAGCATCACCAGAGTGGTAGGGCTCTGGTCCAGAGTCAGCAGTGTGCCGATGTAGTGGCTGACCAGTCCGGGTTTCTGGGAGAGACAAACAGAACCTTGAGCCCGTCTAACGTTCACCTGGGTCGAAAACTCGTGATGAGACCGGCCAGGTGCATCTGTTCATACCTGCACCCTACCCCGACAATGCAAGCTGCAGATCTGACGGTTGGTGTTGTGGTGACCTTTGACCTTTACATATTGCACATATTTTAATTGCTACAATAATCTGTTGGAATCATTTTAAAAATATTGTGATTTTTAAATTTTTTTGCAAAATGCAAACCTTTTTCTACCATGAGGTTTACTCAGTCTCTGTGCTGCGAAAAACTGAAAAACATAATAAAACGACAAAAATGATGAGAAAATTATTAAAGATCATCATTTAAATGATTAGGAATGATCAGAATCCACAGAACTCAAAAACATCTGAAGATATTCCAAAGTACTGTAGTCATCCTGTTATTGTTGCACCGGTACCGCTGCTCTACGTTGGTTTTGATTAAATGTTTATAGTTTGTGTGAGTTGGAGCTGCTGGGAGATGCAGCTGTATCTCACCCAGAGCTGTGAATCGTGATAAAACAGTCTCTCAAAAATGACAGACCGTCAGATGTGTAGATCGTAAAACTGTCTAAAATCGTCATATCGCCCAGCCCTAATCTCACCTGCTTGCTGCTCCACTATAATAAACCACTATTAAGCTCAAAATGTGGTTCCGCCTGTGCTTTAGTGCTGCAGAAATGTTACAAAACGATGAAACGTTCTCATGTCGCATTTGTACTCCAGCTTCCTCCGAGCTTCGTGTGCCCAGATCTATAAAGAACATGTTGCTGCTGCAGCGAACAAAGACGATCTCTGGTGAATTATTGAATAAAAATGTCCGTCACAGACAGCAATCAGCCGTTTGTGGTTTTTCAGGAGTTTCTTTAAGCAAGTCACCAGACCAGAGTCCAACTCCACTCACAATTCCTGTTTGAAAAATGTGCCACAGTGAGGCGTTGCCTGGCAGACCGAGAGAGTGGAGCCGCACAGGCTCACAGCGGCATTGTGACATCATGCGGTACCAGCTAACGTCAGAGGCAATAGCGATGACGGGTTTAAATTCAAATGTAGTGCACAGCTTTTACCTGAAGAGGGCGCAACACTGACAGCTTTAGGCAGAATATTTCAATTTTAAGGTGCACTAAAGTGCCAAATTATTGGGTACACGTGTCAACAGCACGATTAGAAACTCATTCACATAATTTATTAGCAAAACAAGTAGATTTGGGGGTGACTTGCTCTTTAATGACGTTTTTGCACGTTTGCAGGAGAAGCACTTGGATCAGCATGTATGATGATTGTAAGGGGACAAAAAACAAGTCGTAATGTCTGTTTTCACAAACACGGTTATATTGCAGAACCGTTATATTGTATAAATGCATAAGGCCGTAGCATACTTGTGGCCATTTCCTATCAGAAAATATATTCATGCAGCTTATTTTATGTCTTAACAGGGTTAAAAGCTGTCTATGTTTATCTTAAACTCTGAACAGGTCAAATTCAACTAGAAAATAAACACGAGTCTCAGAAACAACTGATAACCGTGTTATTTAGTGGTTTTATTGTTTGATTTGACAAACTTTAAGCTGAAAACCACTGTGAGGTGTTGAAATAACAGTTATTTGCACCATGCACGCTCCCACAGCCTGCGAGCAGTTTTTGGCATCCATCTCTGTGACTGTGATTGTTCAAATGACGACGCGTGGCACGCTCCAACAAAGACTGTCTGTGAACAAGATGGATTCTCTTCCTTTATCTGAAAATGGATTTTTAGAACGATCAACGGAAACCTGACAAATAAGCCACCATACTTTGCTTCGAATTGGTGATTTTTACCGGTAAAAAACACGTTTGCAGGTATGATCTGTTACAACCCTCTGAAGTAGGGCTGCACAATATTAGGAAAACCTGCGATAACAGTGATTAATATTGCGATGATGATTTTACTTTAATAAAAACTTAACTCAGGAACAAAAACAATCAAAACCAAAGAAATGAAAATAAATCATAAAAATGAGAAAAGCAGAAGATGTGAGGAAAGGGAAAAAGAAAATGAACAAGAAAAGGTCATAATCAGCGGATCCCAGGAAAAGCAGAATCAGCAGAAAGAGCAGAACAAAGCTAACTCAGGTGTTTGCCAACCATCTAAATGAAGTGCCATCCGCCTCTGGGGCGCGCATCTAACCTATGAGAACCCACCCAATTGGTCAAATGAGGGAGGAGCTCCATTTGATTTGTTCAAAAAAACATCAAGCTTCCGTTTGATTGACATAATGCATGATGTGTAGCAAACACTGTGATATTTCTCTGTTCTTTGCGATGTGCATATTGCGCATGCTGAAATTGCGATAACGATATATTTGTGATATATTGTGCAGCCCTACTCGTAAGAATTGCTAAACTAACTCACTTCTTGCCAAAGGTGAGTGAGACTCTTCAGGCTTGATTTCTTAGCTGTGGCTTGGGCTCCGCCCACCACCTCAGCCACTAGGAGGCTCTGAACCTCCACCTGAAAGAAAGAAAGAAAGAAAGAACAGCTGGCAGATCACAAGTTGACCCCAACTTCCAAAATGAAAATAAAAGCATATTTTTTTGCCCCTCAGCGGGTAAATTCAGCTGCTCTTTCACTCACCATTTTCTTCCAGATGAGTCCGTCTCTTTTCTCTGGGGCAGAAAAAACTTTATGGACTAAAAGGCAAGTCCAGGACAAGCCGATGAAGGCAGCAGAACCTGAGCTTTTACTGTAAATAAAGTTAAAACAAACAAAAATGTAAAAGGAACCCTTAACAAGTGTCTCTTGACAAAGATAAGGCAATCATTGGATCTTTTTACTCTACAGGCTTTATGCTCCTTACTCCTGGTCAACATGTAACACAAACAAAACCAGTCCAATCCAGACATAACAACACATCCACTCTTCTGTGACTGATGGCTTAGTGAAGATCCAGTTACAATAGCTCTCAGATGAAAGCCCGAATCATAAACGCCTGGGGCAGACCTTGGCTCTCCATTTTTGCTGATGACTCCACTGTTCAGAAGGCAGTGGAGGAGGCTGGCCACCAGGACATCAGGATGAATCTCAGCCAGCTGCCCAATGACAGACAGCAGCTCTCTGCGTGATGCAGCATCCCTGAAAACCACAAGAAACATCACAGAATGCACAAAAAAACTGAACACAGTCACACAACATACAAATATTTCAATGGATCTCAATAAAAGAAGTCAGACCCACCGGTATCTGTGTGGAGTCATACAGAAAAGTTTGCACAGTCCTTTGACAGCGGGCTCTGGCACTTCTACAACAGAGAATATATTATTATTACAGTTAAAACAGCACGGCCCGGTGCAGAGGCTGCCAGAACAGAGTGCCTCACCCTTCAGACACTGTTTCAGGTCTCTGTAGATTTCCTTGCGCTCCTTAACGCTGGCTGTAGTCACTCTCACAGCAAACTTCTTCAGCGTGTCTGAAACCTAAAAAATAACAAGTTTACAGCAAAACATGAGACCACTAACCAAACAGCTGTTGCATGTTCCTGACTGACATCTGCAGTGGTCTTTAGCAGGCACGAGTGCCTCCTAAGTCATACTCTAGGGAATAAAAGCTCCAGCGCATTTGTTTCAATATGGGGATTGGAGGAGAAAGTAGATTCACAGGACAGGATTTGGAGTCTTATTTCCTGATATTTGGACATCTCTCCTCTGATTGGCTAACAGCAATACGACTACTACTGACTCTGTTTGCTTAGCAAAATTGATGTTTCATCTCCACAAATAACTCAAGCTTGGAGGAATTCTGCTGTGTGGTGGAGTTGCTACTGCTAACAGTTAGCTTCTACTAGTCAAGACATGCTCTGCTGTTTCTTGGACACTAAACCAACAACAGCCTTCCCAGTTGTGAGTCAAGATGGATGAGTCAATGAATGTTAAATGACAGTGCTGTCAGGCTTTTCTAATACTAGAGTTTCATCACCGTCTATGTTCCGTCAGAAGGACCTCTTTATATGACTTGGCTGAAATTAAGCTGTGTAGCCCTCTGACTGGGCCAGCTGGTGTGGTCGTCCTTCTGCAGCAATGATGAAGGTTTGAATCCCTCGTGATCACAAATCTTTGAGCAAAACTGACCTCCATTCACATCCATGTACATTCTACTGGTGGTGATCTTAGTAGCATTTGACTGATGTCCGTGACTGCAGACTTCACTAATCAGACATTTGGCTCAAATTTTACATTTTTTTATTAAACCAGCTCAGATTTGGCGACATAAATTTTACACTCTGACAAGCTAGTTTAGCAGACGGCTGAGCAACATTATGAGTGGCTACGTAGCTTAGCCCGCCTAGTGTTCAGAGTCCGGTTCTCTGGCAGCATGAGCAGCCTGTCGTCAGCAGCAGCTCCGCTAACAGCCCGCTAGCTAGCTGCTGCTCGTTTCAGCCACAGTTACACCAATAAAGCCGAAACACACCGACATACTTAAGGAAAACGGCGTCAGTGTCTCACTAAAACATCTTCTAATGAGCCCATGACTCGTTCTCAAAGCTATTAGGTTATAATTAAACTATTCAACCACACAGACCTGCGTGTCCGCCGCCATATTGCCGGTCTTGTTGCAGGAAGAACTTCTTCGCGTCACTTCCGGGTCGTCGAAACGGAACCTGCCCTAGATTTCTTTTTTCTTTTTCTTTTTTCTTTTCCCCTTGAATACGCTTTATTGACAAAGCACATAACACAACTACAAAGAAATAACAAGCACAATGACACACCAAGGTCAGGGGGTTTCTATGGGAAAACAAAACAGTCTAACATCACATGATATTGAACAGGGAACATAAGTTTATGGTTTTGACAGCTTTCAAATTTTGAGAATGTTGTATGGTTTTTATATATTGTCTGGTTTCATTTTAAAAAGCACTGAAAGGAAGGTTTTGCATTAGAAAATTTCGACTATGTATATGAAATTTAGCTAATAATATCAATAAACTAATCAAATAAAATTTGTTTGCCCTGTGCTTGGGGTACTTAAAGAAACCGAATAATATTTCCTCATAACAAAGAGAGAACTCAGAAAAGATTAAGGAAACAACAAAACCCAAAATTCTTGCCAGAAAAGATTTGTGTATAAGCACGACCAAAATAAATGAGAAATATCTTCCGTCACACAGTTACAAAATGTACAGTTAACATCAATTTCCTTTTTATAACGTATAAGAAAAGATCTGGTTGGGTAAAAACGATGAATAACTTTAAAAGATATTTCCTTTAGTTTGTTATTTAATAGAAATTTTGACGGTAAGGTCCAAATCTTCTCCCATTCGAGGTCCTGGTATAAGTTATTCCAGTAGGCGACAGCCGTTGGGACACAAGTTTTGTCTTTTTGAAACAGAGTTCGTATTTCACGGTTGTTTTTCCACTTTATAGCGGTAAAACACACCGGACCAACGTAAATAACAGTAGGATCCAGCGGTAAAGGGGTCAAATCATTAACAACAGGATCTCTAAACAACATTAAGACCCCAGCAGGGATAGCATCAAACACTATGGCATATTCCTTTGGTGTAACAGGAAGACCATATGTATTCATAAATTCTGAGCAAGAGAGTAAACCTCCAACAGGATTTATAAGTTGTGCAACTGTCAGAGTCCAAGCCCCCAGGCCGGGCTCTCCCAGCTGACCGGCTTCTGTCTCGGACCATTACCCATCATGCCCCTCGCGGGGATTCCCTCCACGTTGCACCTGCGTCATCCATGTCTATATATGGAAGACGCCACACCGGCTCTTCACTCAGTCATCGTTCCACCGTGTTCCATGATCAGAGTATTCCGAAGCTAGGACAGTTAAACCTCCACCTTTCTAACTCAGACCTCATCCTTCCGTCAGCCTTTTCAGCACCGCTTGCAGCCAGCAGTCAGTAATAAAAGCTCTTACTCCCGAACCCAGTCTTCGAGTCTTGACAGCAACACTATGAATCCCATTATCAAACCAGTTAAAACACAGACTTATGTTTATATAAAATGTCTCTATTGTTCCAAATATAGTATCTATGTGGAGAAAAGTTGTGTTTATAAATCAATGACCAGGAAAGAAGCATTTGTTTATGAAAGTTGGATAGTTTAAAAGGGATTTTATCGATATTGTAATTACAAAGCAAAAGGAAGTTAAGACCACCAATTTTTGAAAAAATATAATTGGGAATAAAGTTCCAAATTGAGGCTGGGTTCCTGAAAAGTTGTTTAATCCAGTTTATTTTAAACACATTATTTAATGAGGAGAAATCCAGAAAGTTTACTCCACTATGTTGGTATGAGTTGGATAAAACTGATCTTTTAATATAATGAATTCTATTCTTCCATACGAAGGTATAAAGAAGTCTGTCAATGTCTGCCAGGGTTTCTTTATTTACATCAACAGACAAAGCAGCATGAGTTAGACGGGATAAGCCCTCTGCTTTTGTCAGTAAAACTCTCCCTTTAATGGATAAATCCCGCTGCAGCCAAGCATTTAGCTTACGTTGTGTTTTGTCCAAAATTGGAATGAAATTAAGGGAGCACCTGGTGGATTGATTTTTATTAATGATGATACCAAGGTAATTGACAGACTCTTTCACTGGGATGCCAGCGATAGATAGACTGCTACAATTTCTAAGGGCAAGCAGTTCACATTTGCCAATGTTTAGGTGGAGTCCTGAAGCTAAAGAAAAGGCATTAATTGTGTTAATAGCCATTTGCACCTGTGAAGTATTTTTTTAAAAAGAGAGGGGTATCATCAGCAAGTTGACTAATGAATTTTTCTTTATCAGCAATTGTTATACCTTTCAGAGGGCTGCGTCTAATATAATCAGAAAGGAGTTGGGCACAGATGAGCAGTGTTGGGCAAGTTACTTCAAAACTGTAATGCATTATTTATTACTTGTTACCCTCATTTTAACGTAATTCATTACATTACAATATTACTGATTTTAAAATGTAAGGCATTACACTACTTTTGCATTACTTTAAGTTACTTTCACCAGAACAACTTCAATATGAATCTGGTAATGTGACGCTCAGTGAGCTCATGACATATATGTGGAAAGTGATGTGGTATCTGAGCTAGGATTGCTGTTTAAAACAGTCAGATATAATAACAGTGCTTTAAAATGATTGTTAATTAAATTAAAGCAACAACAATCTTTACTCTCAGCACGCTGCCATCTTACATTAACTGAGCAGGGAGTGAGGTGGTGGGGGCTTCAAGCCTATATTTGCCTTGGTCCCCAAATGCCTTGATACGGCCCTGGATGTGGGACTGACTTCTGGGATGATCTGATTCTATCCCATGTATACATATTAAATGCTTATATATTATTGCTTTTCACTGGTAAAAATGTGTGTTGGGGATAAATCTACCTACTTTTTTTCTTTTCAAGCATTTTGTTTTGTTTTCTTGCTTTATTTGAATAATTTCCGGCCCTTTCTCTCTCTAACCTTCCTGCATGCTGCATGTTTTCTCCGTCTTCCAGAAAAAACTGTAAACTAGATTTCCTACTTTCTAACTAATCAGCCAAAGGGATCTACTGAACGCAAAAAAAGCTTAATATGCGCTGCGCTCCAGCAGCAATGAGCTGAAATCACCGGGGCACAGATTATGAACACAGCTGAAAAGTACATGAAGTACCAGAGAATATGGGCTGATATAAACGATCGCAAACGAATGACTTTGTTTTGGTGGAGCGATTTTGTGAATATAACAGCGCAGGACACAGCTGGAGTATTTCAGCCGTTACCGCTGCGTCCTCTCTGCTCATAGAATGCCCGCAAAGCTGAGTCCATAAATGACGTCATATATGCAGATACTGGATCTTTTTTCAGGCTTCCCGCAATTAGAATTTTTAGGAAACCCACATCTTGATTCTGGGTTTAAAAATGCATTGTAATTACCGCATTACTGACAATTGTACCGAGTAAATATTACCAGTTTCTTTCCATGTAATGCCTTACATTACCACATTACAGCAAAAGCAATGCATTACAGTAATTAATTACTTTTGTACCGCGTTACTCCCAACACTGCAGATGAGAAATAAGTATGGGGAGATGGGGCAGCCTTGCCTGATACCGCGGTTCAAGTTAAACCTAGGTGACGTACCTGCTTGTAGTTTGATGGAACAATTTGCATTTTTGTACATTGTTTTAATTGCATTCTGAAAATAAGAACCAAAGCCAAATTTGTCCAAAGCCTGAAAAATAAACCATGTTCAATCGTATCAAACGCTTTGCAAAAATCTACAAATAAGATAAAGCTATCATCCTCACACAAATCTGCATAATCAATTAGGTCAAAGACAAGTCTAATGTTGTTGGATATGTGTCTGTTGGCCATAAAGCCAGACTGAGTTTCATCAATAATAACATTCAAAACAGCTTTCAGTCTTTGGGCAAAAACCTGGGCTAGGATCTTATAATCATTATTAAGGAGGCAAATTGGCCTCCAATTATCAATATAAGTGGGATCTTTCTTTGGCTTTGGGATTGTATACATTAAGAAGAAATGGAGCCAGTTGATCAGCAAAAGTAATGTAAAATTCAGAGGTTAAGCCATTGGTTCCTGGGGATTTATTAAGTTTAAGACGTCGAATAGCAGGTAGCACTTCACTAATAGATATCGGCCTATCACAGAAACTCATCTGATCTTCTTTAACTGTACGCACATCAGGGATTTGATCCATAAATTTCAGAGCACCACTCTCATCAAACTCTGATTTGTATAAATCTTTTAAAAAATTAGAGACTTTTCGGGGGGTCATCAGTTATAATACCATCAATATTAAGTCTCCGAACAGAACTGAATTTAGAACGAGATTTCTCTCATTTAAAAAAATAGGATGAGTGTTGTTCACCTTCTTCTAGCCATCTTCTCCTTGATCTCACAAAGGCTCCCTCTGCTTTCAGTTTATAAATATCATTTAACTTACTCTGTTGCAAAGCTAATTCGGTTTTATCTTCTTCAGATAGGTTCTCTGGTGGGATCTGAGTGAGAGCAGACATCCTAGTAATTACATTGATTTCTTCCTTTTTCCTTTGTTTTGCTGCAGATGAGCCATACTCTCTCAAATATTTAGCGGTTTCAAATTTAAAGAGTTCCCAATTTTGACAGTAGAGATGACTGGTTAGGGCTTTATCCCAGACATTTTTGATTAATGACAAAATATCTTCAAACACTTTTTCATGTTTTAGAAGGGAATCGTTGAGTTTCCAGTAGCAGTTCCTACAAGTTTGGGCAGCATTAGCATTGAAAAAGACCTGAAGTGATACCGCTTTGTGATCCGTGAGTGGAGTTGGCATTATATTGGTTATAACAATATTCCTATTTAAGCAATCAGAGATTAACCAAAAGTCAACACGGGATTTAGAAGAGTTGGATTTGTTACTCCATGTAAATAGTCTGGCTTTAGGGTTTTTACTCTCCAAATGTCTATTAAATGAAATTTTTGCATGAATGTATTTAAACAACAGGACAGAGTTATTTGAGCTAGGTGACCATCTGTCCAGTGAAGGATCTAGAGCAATGTCAAAATCACCTCCAACTAATAACAAGAGATTAGGGAATTTGGATAACCAGAACAAAATGCGTGTTTCAAGGGCATCCAGTAAGAAGTCATTACCAGACTTAGAATTAT